GGAGCCCAGAGTTTCTCAGTAGCTAGTTTAATCCCTTGCTGGCCGGCTCTTTACCTGGGTCTCAGCGTTGCGAGTCCTGATCATGTGACTGGTGGTCACATGATTGGGAGCCCATGTCACTGGGTCCCAAAAACCGTTTACAGTGACCAGAAGCTGCCTGTGATGGCTTGGACACAACAGCGGAGCCCCTAAAATGATCCCGTGCTTATAAAGTGCACCTGTCACCAGACAATGGACATCAAACTATTTACACATTGTTATCGAGCAGTAAATGAGCGTTGGAACAAATCCTCACTGACGTCTAGCCTCAGATACTGTGGAGTAATTCATCCTCAAAGATCACAACAGAGACTGTGAAGTCGGGCCGAGTTTAGTTAGCGGCACACCAAAATGCTCAAAAGAACCATCTTTAATAATCACGTAGAGAAGTGACATTGATAGATGAAGGGGTCCTGTGGGCAGGGCCGGATAACCAGAGGGGCGGGTGGAGCTCCCCCTCAGGGCCCGCCCAAGCTGACCTGGGGTATCTGCTCCAAATTGCAATGGTCAGAGCCTACACAGGGCTGAGGACTTCACCACATGTGACGGCACTGTCAGACCAGCCAATCACCAAGCACCACAATTGTCATTTTGGAAGAAGGGGATTAACTCAGGGGTGGAATTCAGGAGCCAGTCTGTCCAATCCAGGAGCCAGCAGGGTGTTTTTTTAGGAGCCAGCTTTCTATAAAGAAAACCTCAAAGGTTTAAGGCCTGGCCCACACCTGAGTGTTTTTTCAGCGCTGAAAAATGCTCAAACAGGGAAATTCCATAGTTCCCTATGGGCATGGTTCCCACCTGGGCATATTTCAGCCCTTAAAAAACGCCCTATGCCCAAACAAGTACAGGAGCTTCTTTGGGGCGTTTTTCCGCGCGTTTCCATTGGTATTCCCGAATGTGGCTCGGGGGTAACAAAACGGTAACCCCGAGCCACACTCGGGGATACAGCGTAGGTCTTACCTTGTCCGCGATCCCCGCTGTGTCCTCCGGCGGCTGCCGACTTCCGGGTTCCGTCCCTTGCGAGCGGCCGCGTCGCAGGGGGGCGAGAAGTTTGAAAAAGGAAAAAACAAATAAAAATCATACCGCCAGTGAAACGCGTGTTTCACTGAATGGAAAAACGAGCAGAAAAAACGTGCATGTGATTCGCCCAGGTGTGAATCCAGCCTAAAGGAGAACTTTGGGGTCAGGGCTTTTACCCATAGTTCTCCTGAGGGTCACGGGAGAGCACAAACTAGCGTTCTCCCGTCACCCAAAGCTCAGTATACTCGGTATACTGAGACGCCGGGACGGATCACGACATTGCTGTCGAGATCCACCCAGCTGCGTGATTGACAACTGGCTCTGCCTATCCAGAGGCAGAGCCAGCTGTGCCCGCCCCCTCCCCCGTCAGTCAGCGCTGGAGGATCAGGGAGGGGGGAATCCTTGCAGGGAGCCATGAGTGACAGTCACTGCTCTTTGCAGGGACATGATGGAGTGACAGTATGTGTTCGCTCACTTCTTGATCTACTGAGCTGACATGTGACAGTTTCATTGTCGCAGGTCAGCTCAGATTATGAGGCTGAGTGAAAATCACTCGCCTCATAATTCTCTTTTTAAGGCACATTGGTGACCTGGTTTCTGGGATTTGTCCAGCCCTGGAATAATGATATGCTTTCCCATACCTGGAGGTACTGAATATTTATAGTACTGGAGCCAAAACTTCTTTATTTTTTTTTGGATCGAGTAAGGGCGGGTTATAACCATCTTATTTTGCTATCTGTGTCCTGTTGGGGAAATTTCCCTTCACTTCCTATCCAATAGTAACAAAAAGAGGTATAAAGAAATCCCTCCAAGGAGAGGGAAATTCCCTGATGGGTCACCAGAACTAGTGTCCCCATTAGAAGATTTCCCCTCTATTCCTGTTCTGATGTCAGCCCAAAATGTGGGATTCTCTTTCAGTGAATAACATTCACAAGGACAAATAGGGTGAATCCTTCTAATGGAGCCAGACAACAGGGGTTTGAATCCCTCTCCAGTCTATCCAAAACAAAAGAAATGTTTTGGCTTCAGTTGCACTTTAATTGCCCTTTGTATAGGAAGGGGACTATAAACAGCCGCATGGGCTGATATTAAAGTGGACCTGTCGCTTTGCCCTTCATGTTTACATTATGCAGAATCTTCTGTGACCCTAAAAGGTTCATTGTCACTCTAAATCCATCTAGTATTTGTTTTGCAATCCATAATTCATTTTACTACAGTTTCGGTTACAAAGCCAGAGGCTGATCACTGACGATGGGCCTTTCCGGAGAGCATAGAGCAAATGGAGTAGAAGGAAAGTCCTGGAGGATATCTGTGTTCAGCACCCGAGACGTATGATGTTGTTTTATGAATATTGTGCTTCAGTCTGGGTCAAATGACGTGCATTGTGTCACACCCAGACCTGATATGGCTGTACAATGGCCACTAGATGCAGCTGAGGAGCATTGGAAATTTGCTTGTGTCGGCTTGACGGAAAGATTTGGGTTTTTTTTTTAAACTTTGTATTTCTTTTGTATGCAGATGATCCTATTTATATACAATCTCTTCATTGTGGTCTTAATTATAAGCTGGGTGGTGGAGCGGGGGTCACTTTCTCACTATCCGTCTGTACATTTCCCAGGAAAGGTGTGACGCCCCATTGTCTGCCATGCTAATTTTTCAGCCACGACTCATTCAAGTCATTAATTTTCATATAAATTTGCACTCCGGGCAGATAAAAGAAAACAATGAATTCAGTTTTATATGTTAATTAAAAAAAAAAAAGTAATTAAAAGTAATTATAAATGTGATAATTAGATTGTGTTGGTATCCACCTCTTGCAATCCACTGCACAGCAGAAGAGAGAGGGGCAGCACTAGGAGCCAATCAGATAATCCTGCATGTGCTAAGGAGGAAAATGCTGACGGCAGTAATGAAACAGAGGGATGACCTCATTAGTTTTCTGCTGCCCCTTTTGTTGTCCAGTCACAGGCTGGAAGCAGAGCCGTGTAAGTCTCGAGACTGGCTGGACAGAAATACAAATAATAATTTGTGATGTATAAGTTTCAGCTGATTGCTTTCGGGCAAGCCGTTAAATATACAATTGCACAACATACAGTGGCATCCCAAGGGAGTGCGGCCCGCACTCGGGTGACACCATTGGAGGGGTGACACCAAAATGACTGGCAGTCATTTTGGTGTCACCACCCTCTGATGTGACACCCGGTAACCACTCCGGGTGTCACCCAGCCTCGGGAGGCCCCTGACAACATACTAATGGATTTACGCACCAAAGGATTTACAATTTTGTTCGGTCAGTCTTGTGGTTTACACACATTTTCCACACTGCACAGCCAAATAGGTGACACGCGTAACTCCAAGTACAGCAATTCAGCTTCCTGCGTCACCTCTTCGCCTCAGACCCTCTCATTGGACAATCGGCATCTCCTCCTCTATCAGGGCGCTGACCCAGGACACAATGATACTGAACCACAAAGCTGTAGTGTGATCTCGCTGGCCAGCAGGGGTGTCCATTACAGGAACGGGGGCACAAAATGCCTAATCCTTTCTTCCATACAAATGGATTGAAATTGGACCTTCCACGCCAAATGAACATCTGTCGTCTTCTTTTTTTTGCCAGCCCCCTAACCCACCCAACACAAATTTTTTAAAAGCCATTTCTAAACTCCCCGCCCACACGCCAGCCGCAGCTCCCGCACGCAGCTCACACACGCACAATGGAAGCGACATCCGCCGGGACCGGCAACAGCACACTGCCTTCCGGGACATCGTCCACTCCTCCCCCAGCCAGGTAAGACATCCCCCGAAAATAAGACCTATAAGACTGTCTTATTTTCGGGGAAACACGGTAACTGCCACTATAATCCCAGCCAGGCTGACTACAGCCCCGGCTACCACTAAATGTCTGGTAGCCACATCACAGAAGGTGATGGGGGGCTACAATTGCATTCTCATTGCATGTCTAGCTCTGCTGGGAGGCACCGTGATGTCACCTGTGCCTCCCATAAGCTTCGGAGGCCTGAGGCCAAAGCGGTGCTCCCCTTCCATTGGTCAATCACTTTCACCAACTTCCTGGATTCCCAGTGTGCTTTGTGTCCCTTTTCCCTGCTGCTTGATGTGATACAATCTTAATTTCTCAAGACTACACATCCCATCATGCATTGCTTCCAGCAACCAATGATGATGTTACATTGTTCAGACACTGAGTTGTAGTTCGGAAGGCACGGTCTGTGACACCAGGAAGTGCGTATTCACAGGGCTGAGTGAATCCTATGTCATCCTATGGGGCATCTTCAATAAGTGTACAAACCTCTAGATGGATCTGGTTATGAGGAGCGGGATGGAACTTCTGGAAATGCAAAGCCGAAATCCAGATTTATTTTTAGTTTTTAACCATAGATGCCCTTTAACTTAGATTTATCCTCCATTGAGACTACACAACACCTTCCCTTTTATATCTAACTTTAGGATTGGGTTTTTTTTGTCTTCTCAGTGTTTGTTGCAGTAAACGCCATCAACGTACAGACGGCGACAAGAGTGGTTGAAGCTCCCAGAGGGAAAAGCGCCAATTTGCAATGCTCCTACCAGACCACAGCGACGGATACAGCCGGAGCGAACGCCATATGGTACAGGCAGCCGGATCAGGTAGGCTTTGTGCCTTTTGCTCAGTTATATACCAATCAGCCAAAACATTGGAGGGGGGGGGGGGGGATATATTGGGCAGCAAGTGAACATTTTGTTCTTGAAGATGATGTGTGGGAAGGAGAAAATAAACGGGCAAGATTAAGGTTTTCAGAGACTCTGACCAGGGCTAAATTGTCATGTCTAGACGACTGGGTCCAAGCAACTCCAAAACTCTTGTGGGATGTTCTGGGTCTGCAGTGGTCAGGACCTATAGCAAGTGGTCCATGGAAGGAAAACCGATGAACCGGCGACAGGGTCATGGGCGGCCAAGGCTCATTGATGCACATGGGGAGGAAAGTCTGACCCGTGTAGTCCGGTCCAATAGAAGAGATACTGGAGCTCAAATTGCTGAAAAAAATAATGTTGGTTCTGATAGGTGTCTGAACAGACAGAGCATCACAGTTTGTTGTGTATGGGGCTGCGTAGCTGTAGACCAGTGAGGGTGCCCAGTGCCAAAAGCACTAACAATGGGCACTTGAGCATCAGAACTGGACCACAGAGCAATGGAAGAAGGTGACCGGGTCTGATGAGTTTTCTTTTACATCATGTGGATGGCCGGGTGTGTGTGTCACTTACCTGGGGAAGAGATGGCACCAGGATGCACTATGGGGAAAAGGAAGCATGGCGGAGGCAGTGTGATGCTTTGGGCAATGTTCTGCTGGGAAACCTCGGGTCCTGCCATTCATGTGGATGTTACTTTGACACGTACCACCGACCCTAAACATTGTTACTGACCAAGTACACACCTTCATGAAAACGGTATTCTCTGGCAGTGGCCTCTTCCAGCAGGATAATGCGCCCTGCCACACTGCAAACATGGTTGAAGAATTGGTTTGAGGAACACAACAATGAGTTTGAGATGATGACTTGGCCTCCAAATCTCAATCCAATCGATCATCTGTGGGATGTGCTGGAAAAACAAGTCCGATCCATGAAGGCCGACCACCTCCCAACTTACAGGACTTAAAGAATCTGCTACTGATGGCTTGGTGCCAGATACCACAGCATACCTTCAGAGGTCTAGTGGAGTCCATGTCTGGATGGGTCAGGAAAAGGGGACCTGCTCCAATATTAGGCGGGCTTTCATAATGTTATGGCTGATTCGTGTAAGATGTCATCGCCTCTCTAGTTCCAGATGTCATTTTTAAAAGGTAACTTTTCGGGGTGTTTTTTTTTTTTATATCTAAACCCCAAGAAAGAAAATACATCTTGCAGCTTGCTTAGATCTGGTGGCTGCATTTGTTTTTCTGCAGGTACAAAACGAATAGAAATCCAGAGTCCTTGCAACTTCCTGTACACGAAACCCAATGTTATCAGCCTTCCAAACTAGCTTATGTGAACTACAAATGCAATGCTCCTCTATGTCATGGAGATGGGTGGAGTGTAGTCCAAATCCAGAAAGCAGCCTAGGGTGACAACACATTACCGAGAGTAAAGGCCATGACACACTGCAGGCGAAGCAGCGCGGAGCGGTGGCGCGCTGCCCTTGCGAGCAGTGTGTCATGCCATTTTCTCCTGGGCACATCAGCTGGCGCGAGCTCGCGGAGCTGAGCGTGCCGAGATCAACAATTCCAACTTCAGCCAATCGGCTCGCGCGAATAAACCAGCGCGTCGGTATGCGACAGCTGGCTGGTTGTTACAGACGAGCCGATTGGCTGAAGGTGCAGTCAATCATCTGACTGCAGTCAGCTCTCATTTTCTCCTGGGCACCTCAGCTGGCGAGAGCTCGCGGAGCTGAGCGTGCCGAGATCAACAATTCCAACTTCAGCCAATCGGCTCGCGCGAATAAACCAGCGCGTTGGTATGCGACAGCTGGCTGGTTGTTACAGACGAGCCGATTGGCTGAAGGTGCAGTCAATCATCTGACTGCAGTCAGCTCACACACTGCACGCAAAGCTCCGTGCCGGATAGCTTTGCTTCGCTCTGCACGGCTTCGCGTGCAGTGTGTCACGGCCTTAAGCGTTCTCCCTATAGAACAGGAACTGCCAGATGCAAATAAAGGAGGGGGGGGGGGAAATCCCACCCCCCCCAAAAAAAATGCGGCCACCACATTTTAGGACCAGTAAGCTGTGATAAAGTACATTTTTGTTTTAAATAAACTTATGTTATTGTATATCTTTCTGTCTTATTTTACAAATATAAACATTTAACACATGGCAAAGGATTCCCAAAGCACTGTGGGGTTAGCTAACTAGACAGTACAGCTGCTTGCTTTGTGGCACAGTTTGTTTGGAACGGACTTGGCTGTCCAATAAGTGATGAGCCAGAATTTAAAACGGTAAACTTTTTATGTTTTTATTAATAAAAATGTTCACAAATACTATTCAGTCCCTTAGTTATGTAAATTATATTCTGCTACTTCTTTGTAAACGTTGAGACTGATCCACCTCCCCAGCCTTATTGGCCAGTTAGGCTGCCCTTCATACTGAAGCAGTGACATGCGGTACCTCTTGCTCGGGGTGAGGCATTCCCCAGCCCAGCCCCGTCGGCCCAAGCACCCCTGCCTTCAACCCGTCTCCAAGCTAGTGTAAAGGAGGAAGGGAGGAGACAGGGAGGAGCCTCCCTGTCCCTCACTTGCTCCTCACCGCTGAGGCTCCATGACAGGTGACACAGCGGGGAGGCTTTCCCTGCTGTGTAACTTGCTAGAAGCCGATCTGAATGGAGATAAAGCTGTCAGCTTCAGACATAAAGCTGACAGCTTTTCCCTCCATTATTCTAGGTGAGGCTCTGCTTCACCTGCCTCTCCTTAATGCACGTCCCTGCACTGAAGGGCTAATAAGTGGGTGCAGTGATGGGGTCAACCTCTGAAAGGAGAAACCGCCAATATTTCTGCATCTGCTGATCATTTCGACATGTTTATTATGCCAGGAACTATCCAGGTTTACTATAGACTTTAACACCCAACTGAACTTCCTGTGAAAATTGGATAAATACATTCCAGGTGCATCAAAACAAAAGGTCTGCAAAGTCTTACAGCATGAGTAGGTAAGTCTGTTCCCTGCCAGCATGCTGCAGAGAAGAACCCTTTCTATAGAAGCAGTGGCCTCTCTGCAGAGGTCCGACACGCTGTACAATCAGCAGGCAGCATGAGCTTTGGTGACTGCAAAAGCTGAAAGGCACTGCTTCCATACAAAGAGCAAGGGTCATTCTCTGCCGCATGCTGGCAGGGGACAGGTTTTCTGTATGGAAGCAGTTGTCTCTCTGTAGGTGTCTGACGCATACTAAGTTAGACCTATTCCCTATAGCTTCGCAATCGCTAGCTTTGACTCCGCAGAGGGAGTGTTGGACCTCTGCAGAGAGGCCACTGATTGCTAACAGAGAGCAGGGGTCCTACTCTGCAGTATGCTGGCAGGGGACAGGCTTTTCTACTCCAGGCTGTGGCTGCTTGTTTCTTCACAGACGGCAAGGGTCCTTCTCTGTACACTTTGTTTTGATATACCTGAAATGTATTTAGCAGATTTAAATTGGATTTTAAATTGAATGAATTGGCCTATTCACTATATACATATATATATATTATAACACGGGGGTGGGCAACTCCAGCCCTCCAGCTGTTGTAAGTCCCATGAGGCATTGCAAGACTGACAGTTACAGGCATGACTCCCAGAGACATGTTGGGATTTGTGGCCGGAGTTGCCCACCCCTGATGTAATGGGACTGCGCATTGGCATCCTTTATGTAATGTTTTTTTCTTTGTTACGCGTCTCAGGTTGAAGTCTTATCAACATTTTTTGGAGTCAGTGTCAATCACAGCGATGCGGCTTACGAAGGCCGGGTGTCCTTCACTGGAAATGTCTACGGGAGTGACGCCTCTATTTTCATCGACAAACTGACCATGGAAGACAACGGCACCTACCGCTGTGAGATCAACATTCCCAAAGATCGCACCGGGACCCGCGACGCCAAAGTGGATCTTGTCGTTTTAGGCAAGTTTTATGCCGCGCTCTAAACGTCATGTTCCCTGGATGGGAGAATTTGATATTTTGCCGAGAGTTACACTTCAACCGCCAGTGTCATATTGAGGTATTAAAGGTGAACTCCGGGATAAGCAAATGTTCTTCTCTCTGCCCCCTCCTGTAGTTTTCTGCAGACAGCCTGTAGTAGGTGGGGCCTTCTGAGTCTGAGGCTTCCCATTCGTTCAGAAAATATTTACTATCATCCAGTTTTCTGAATGGGGAGAAGCCTCTGTACTGAGTGTTACTACCCATTCAGAAACTCATGAATTAACAGGAAGTGATGTAAAGCACTTCCTGCTCATTCATAACTGGGGACACATAGTACTATGTATCCCCAGTTATTTACAAACGTTGGAGTGATCAGCTAATTTATGCCGCCCCCCCACCCCCAAAACACAAACTGAGGATCGGTATATATCACCGATATTTACTGATCCTCCGCTCTCCATCCTGACCCGCTCAGCCACATACAGCGGGGCGGCAGAGCCTGCAGCTTCTCTTTGGATCCCTGCTGCTCTCCCCCACCTATTTGGTCAGAGGCAGCGGGGATCCGAGGAGAAATGGAGCGCTGAAGCAGGGGGGTGGGGGATGGAGGAGGAGGGAGCGCTGTCAGTTCAGGATGGCTGAGCGGTGAGGAGAGGGAGAGCCACTCGGCCAGGATCAGACAGCCGGCGCTCGCTTGAGCGGGGGGGGGGGGGAAGGAGGAGGAGGGAGCGCTGTCAGTTCAGGATGGCCGAGCGGTGAGGAGAGGGAGAGCCGCTGGCTGTCACATCCTGGTCGAGCAGCTCTCTCACCGCTCGGCCATCCTGAAGCGACAGCCCCCCCTACCCCCTTCTTTGACAGCTGCAGCACCTCACTTCTCCTCAGATCCCCGTTGCCTCTGCCCATACAGGTGGGGAGAGCCATGGGGATCTAAGGAGAAGCCGAAGACTGTACCCCTCCTCTACACCCTGTGTTGGCCGCCTGGCGCCCCTCTTGCCAAGGCGCCCTGTGCTCACCATGGCAACAGGGGTGAGGGGGCGCAGCCAGGTCGGCTCTGGCTGCGCCCCCTCACAGCTGCACCTGAGGCAAATGAGGCACTTGCCTCGCCCTTCTTACGGCCCTGACATGAAGCAGTGAGCACATGTGCGCAAGAGCCCTCATAGGATTAGATGTGTATTTGATTCCAGCTGATTAACATTTTACAAATGACATGACACGACTTGTTTTTCATTATTGCAGTGACCCCATCAAAACCGGACTGTGCCATTGTTGGGACTGCGGAATACGGTGAGGTCATCCAGCTGACCTGTGCATCCAAGGAGGGATCTCCTGTCCCCACGTATACCTGGAAGAGCTACAGCCCACAAAATGTACCTCGGCCCATACCAGCAACTGCAGTCACAGGTATCTATATCAAGATGTTGTTTTTATATTGTCATGTAGGGAGGAGCTCCGCCACCAGGAGGATGAACCGCAAACCGTGCAAATTGCAGTCCTCTGCAGACCACCGCTGTAACAATTGCTTTAATCCTCTCTTAAAGTTGATCTAAACCCAAAAACAAAAATGTAATCTAGTGCAGCTCACCAGCCCTTGGATATCCTTCGAACAGGATTATCCTAGGACAGGACTACAGGGACCTCGCACCGTCTCTTCTCCATACTATCAGGGGAGAGGTGTTTTGTAATACTAGGAGAGAGCTGAGAACAATGTAACTAATAGGTCAGTACAGGGTACACATGACTTCACAGTGACTTTTATTGCAAAGGTGAACTAACCCTTTAAAACAATGTTCTCATACCCGACTATCTTTTCTAAACTAAGAAGAATACCTGCTACCCATGTAATATTCAGGGGGAGGTTTTGTAGTTCATATTAGAAGACCGTTGTCATTCTAGGACAGGAAGTGTGTTACTGGCCGGATCACCAGGTGAAAATTTAAGAGAAAAATAAGAAAACGAATGCAGCTGCAATATATTGCATTTCTGGTGTTTGGCTTTTAATATGCTTTAAAGAGAACCAGTCAAGACTGAACCCTTTTGCTCAAAGATGGAGCCGGAGAAGGTGGTGCTGCCGAACAGGGCAGCCATCAGGGGGGGTACGGCAGATACTCATGCAAAGGGCCTGGGGGGCCCGCCCGGGTCCCTTACATGACTATCGGCCAACGGTGAAGGGCGAGGAGGCAGAGGCCTGGCCCAAGCAGCGCAGGGCTCCAGCATTGCAGCTCCAGTGGCTTTGAGACAAGTTAGGGCCCCATCAGTGACGCTGCTCGTCTGATGTCGGACTGGCCGGAAGTGACGTCACTTCTGGCCGGTCCGGCAGCAGACGAGGCCTTGTGTGCAGGTAAGAGGAGCTAGTAAGGAAAAGGAGGGAGGGATGCAGCTCTGACCAAGCCACCTGAGACCCCTTCAGAGCTTCAGATGTCTCATTTGGGCTATGCAGCATCTATGGTGGGCTCTGCAGGGTCACTCTCAGGTGGGTCCTGTGTTCAGCGCGTCACTAAGCCCTGCGTCCAGCGCATCACTAAGCCCTGTGTCCAGCGGCGCAGGGGGGCCCGGCCTAAAGCCGTGTAAGGGCCCCTTAAATTTCTGATGGCTGCCCTGCTGCCGAATGTCTCTCACATGGATTGTTGAGAGGCAGACCAACAATTGGATATACCCTAAGCAAGTTTACAAATTAGACTCAGTGTAATTTGGATTTCATTGAGCTAATTTGTGTGTAGTTCATGCAAATTGAACACAGCAGCTGGGTGTATCGCTATCCCCATAGCGCAGGTCCATTTGTACACATGAACCTTTTTTGCTGCCAGAGCCAATTTGACGTATTTTGCACACATGTTATAATCCACATTTCAGTCCTGAAAATTACTTTAAAACCCTTCAGAATTTATATATTTCCTGGAAAGTAGAGACCCTATAGAAATGGAGGCAGTTGTAAATTTTTTATGTAGTATGATATTCGAGCAACTGTTGATGGAATCTCAGCATATATCGAGACGAGGCGATGGTATATTGGAAAAGATTAACAAATGCTTTATTCGTGCACGGGAAACTCAAAACAGACCATGAAGAGTTCCTCACTCAGTCGTCTTGTAAGAGTCTCTACCCTCCCCCCCGTCTTGATGTTTTAGGCTGGGCACACACCTTACAACCATCGCAAGACTTTTGGTTGTAAGGTACTTAAAAAAACGTACGATCTGCCTATCTTGCATAGGCAGATCGTACTTGCGATGATCACAAGCCGGCTTCCGATGACCGCAATGCCGAACGGGCAGTGTGCGCTTGCGCACACCGGCCCGTTCGGCATTTGTCTCCCGAGCACCATTCAAACCAGCCGACAATCGTAAGATTTTCGGCTGGTTTTCTAGCATGCTCCTTAGACAAAAGACGTGCAACCGTACAGTAGAAATGGTCGCACGTCTTCATTCACACTGCTCGATGCTCGTACGATCGCGGGATTTCCCGCGATTATCGTACGATTATCGTAAGGTGTGTGGGGACCTTAATTAGTATGCAGGAAACTGTAGCTTTGTGGTTAGGCCATCTTCCTAAATTTATCTTGTAGTTGCAATAGCTTGGTTTCACTCGAGAAAACACACACATTAGTTATGTACAAGTTTAAACATATTAATTGGTTCACTTCAGCAAATATTAATTCCACACAACCCAAAATTTCAATTAAAAATAAAAATAAAAAAATAAACTCAAATTAAATGTTTGTGCTCACAAGCCCCCTATGTGATAGCACAATGGAGGGGACAGGTTCTCTTTTAAGGTGATGTATGTGTGTGTAATAAAAAAA